AAGGTATACGCCAAAGCATCCGTGACTCGAAAGGACTTTGGTAAGATGGAAGTCCAGTTCCCCATACTTCCTATTGCACCACGCTTCAATGTCCCCGACAAGCCGTTTGGTCCACTCACCAGTTGACGCCTTTGCTATCCTGGCGCGCCATGCTGCAAACGTCCTTGCCCTCGGTGGAAGCCCTGTCGCTTCGCCAGCCCTCTTCTCGTCGAATACCAAGCTGCGCTCTCTAGCAAGAAGGTCTGCCGGAGGTACCGCGGCCAGGATATTTGCTGCCGTTTCAGATACAGTTCTGTATGCGCATATACTAACCTAAGAAGTGATGTCCTCTGCGTTCTATTCAGTTGGACTACGCTAGCTGGAGCATAATCCAATGTATGAGCCCACGAAGGGGCACCATACAATAACACGGACTGCACTACTGCGACATATAGTCTCCTGCGTAACTGCTTCGGTCCTCCGATGTTTGGCATGAGCCGTGCTAATTGATTCGCCGTCCTTCCGGCTTTCGCTGCCGCCTCAGGTATGTGTTCCTTAAACAACAATCTGCGGTCCACCACCATCCCGAGGTACCTCATTTGGTGTTTGATTTCCAGCGGGTGACCATCCAGCACGACTGCAGGAGTTGTGAACTTGTACTTGTTGGTGAACAACACTGCCTCTGTTTTGTTCACCGCTAAAGAGGGGCCAATCGTTCTAATCTCCTCCGACACATTTTTTTGACCTATGTTTTTGCCCGCCTGCGTTTCCGCCGTCCTTCCTTGGAAGTAGTCCCCCAATATGCGCCTAAGGTACGCAGGTACCTCCAGTGCATCGACCGCAGCCATCACCTCGGACCACCCGATGGAATTGAACGCGTTGCGTATGTCGAGACTTATAGCGAGGCAGAACTTCTCGCAGGGAAAGTTAATGGTGGACAGGATCTCCTGCTTCAGCTTCAGGACAGCATCGTTCGTGGACTTCCCCTTTCTAAAACCATACTGGTTAGGTGACAGACTCAACGTGTTCCTCGAGTCTCCCGACAAGAATCGCCTCAAACACCTTTCCAACGACGTTGAGGAGACAGATTGGCCTGTATGATGACGGTTCTCCATCCGGCTTACCCGCCTTCTTCAGCAAAACCACACGTGCTCTTTTCCAACCCGCCGGGACGCTGCCTTCCTCGATGGTTGTACAGCTCAGTCAGCATTGATGGACACACGCGATGAACTGAACTCAGAATCCGACCCGTTATATTGTCCACTCCCGGCGCGGTGGATCTTCGCTGCGCCTTGTGCACCGCCCTGTTAACCTCCACAGTTGTGATGGGAGGGAATTCCTCCCCTGCCGGGTAGACTCGCGCCACCAGCGGAGGGCGCGTTGGGAAGAAGACGTCAGTAATCCTTGTCACGGACTCAGTCGTCATGTTACTTGTCGCTGGGGGACCTTGCAACTTGCGGGTAACCAACTTGTAACCTAACCTTTCCCCACACGTCTTCATCAACCAGTGAAATGAGCTGTCTCCAACACGCGGCTTTGCTGCAGACGATCGCAATCCTGAGCGCCTTACGAGCTTCCTTGTACGCCCTCGACGCCGCCTCAGCCTCTTCAACGACACTTGCAACAACAGCGACAGATCCTCCAGCCCCAGCTCGGTTGTACGCGCGATGGAGTCTTGAGTTACTTCTAGTGGCCCTTCTTCTTGCCCCGACACAGGCTTTGCGATGTTCCGCAATCTCGGCATTCCACCAGTGTACCGGTGGCTTCCCCGGACGCAAAGGAGCCTTTCGCTCGAGGGCGTAATCACATGCGGCTGTGACGAGCTTTTCAAAAGTCTCTGCGCGTTGGTCCGCACCTGGTACCTCGGAACATACTTCAGGAGTGTTCGCCCACCGTGCGATCAGCAGTCCGACCTCGAGATCTTGTACATTGAGGGCTGTGTCGGTTCTCCAGCCCCTTGGTCTCACCTGAATCTGGTCTTCTCGGCTCCTCGCTGCTAGCATCGCGAACTCGATGTACTGATGGTCCGACCAGCTTTCTGCAATGAGAAGAAATAACAATTACCTCAAATCTACTATTATGTCAAAGGAACGAGAAACTAACAATTTCTACCACCAATTGTGGGAATTATTTGATAATACATTTTAAAGAAAAACTAAAGTTAATAATATTATTGATTATTAATAAATGATATAACAATTTCAATGTTATTGCACAATCCCACAATGTAAATGTACACGCCAAGCAGTAACGCACATCACCGTTGCGAAAA